GAACTTGAGATCTACAGCTTCGAGGAAGTCAAAGATTTTATATACCTTGGTACCGCCATAAATTAAACGAATGACATCAGATTTGAAATTCGGAGAAGGATAGTGATGGCCAACCGATGCTACTATGGTCTTAGCAAACAACTAAAAAGCAAGGCCACCTCCCGCCATACCAAACTCACACTCTACAAGAAGCTGATACTACCCGTGCTGTTATACGGATCTGATGCATGGGTACTTACGCAAGCAAAGAGGCAGCACTTGGAGTGTTTGAGAGAAAAATTATCCCAAAGATCTATGGACCGATCTGCGTTGACGTTGAATATCGTCGTCAAATGAACTATGAGTTGTACCAGCTATTCTCGGACATCGACATTGTTAGACGTTTTGAGCTGCTGCGACTACGTTGGGGAAGCCCAAGAATACGAAAGAAATTGCTAACACTCAGTTTGAGAGCTGGGTCAATGGAGCGAAAATAAAGCGGGGCCTTCTTAATGAACAAACTTTAATTCTTTTTGAAAACTTTATGTAAAGAAAGTTTTATTCATCAGAAGTCCTTAAAATTACCTAAAAAATAAGCAGATACTTCCTTTATGTTGGGGGGCTATATCAAAAAAAGGACCTAAATCGAAAATCTTGTGGAAATATATAGATACTTCGGTAGAAATTAGTTAAAAACTCACCGAAATAAAAATAAAAAGCGGACCTGTGACATAGCCCCCCAAACCTGAACCTATTTTAAAAATTTTCTGCATATATTAATATCAACTCCTAAAACTCCAATTTCAAATTGATTTTACGATGGTGAGAGATGCCGATATAAGTGGGCTACACAAAATTTATGGTGAAGGGTATAAAAATCCACTCTTATGTATAGTCCTCGATTTTTTTAATTCACACTTGTTTGCAGTTATCTACAAATATTAGAAATATCCACACTTGTTTACATTCATTAAAAACTATTAAAAAAACGCTAAAGCATGGATCCTGAAGATCCAAGAATATATTTAAAAAATCCATGCTAATGCCTAGACCCACCCTGCGGACAGTAGCAACACGTAATGCGATGGAGAACTGCCGGGAGAAAAGGAGAGAGGAGAAACGTATTTTCAGAAAAAAGAAGCAAGAGCAAGAAAAACGAGAGCGTGAGCAAATCGAGAGGTACGGGAGTCAGAATGAAGTTCGAAAATTCTACCAACGGATAAAACACCAAACCGAAGGCTTTGGTGCAGGCACATCCTCCTGTAGAAATAAAGAAGGAAACCTGAAACAGCGTGCTGAGGATCTGGAAGGAGCATTTTGAAAAACTTCTGGTATCAAATAGTAGCAGTGAAGTAGATACACCAGAACTAATAATAGATGACAGGATAGAGTGTATACCACCTAGCCAAGATGAAGTAGCAGGTGCCGGTGGATTACAAGCCGAACTATTCAAGACTGGTGGTCATATGTTGGTCAGGAGCATGAACCATCTGATTAGTACAATTTGGCTAGAGGAATGCATGCCCAATGATTGAATCCTCAGCATCCTATGTCCCGTGCACAAAAAAGGAGACAAGACGATATGTGTCAACTATAGAGGAATAAGTCTCCTTCCCATCGCATATAAAGTGATATCCAGCGTACTGTGTTTATGACTGAAGCCATTGGTCAACGACATTATTGGACCATGCGGCTTCAGACCTGGAAATTCCACCATTGACCAGTTTTTCACTCTGCGCTAAATCCTGAAAAAAACCCACGAAAAACATATCGACACATTCCATCTATTCGTCGACTATAAAGCCGCATTCGACAGTCCTATCTGTTCAGAGGTGTATAAAGTCATGTCTGCGTTTGGTATATCTACAAAATTAATTCAGTTATGCAGGATAACTTTAACAGGCACAAGATCAGCAGTTAATGTTGGAAAGGACCTCTCGGAGCCCTGTAATACCGGACGAGGATTCCGACAAGGTGATAGTTTGTCGTGTGACCTTTTTAACATCCTGCTGGAAAAGGTCATACGAAAAGAAAATTGAGAAGGAGTCTGCCAAAGTGGGTTTGGCAGTAAATGGCGAGAAGACCAAGCTGATGGTATCAACGGCCAAGACGTCCAGTAGACTCGGACCAACTGTGGAACTTGAGATCTACAGCTTCGAGGAAGTCAAAGATTTTATATACCTTGGTACCGCCATAAATTAAACGAATGACATCAGATTTGAAATTCGGAGAAGGATAGTGATGGCCAACCGATGCTACTATGGTCTTAGCAAACAACTAAAAAGCAAGGCCACCTCCCGCCATACCAAACTCACACTCTACAAGAAGCTGATACTACCCGTGCTGTTATACGGATCTGATGCATGGGTACTTACGCAAGCAAAGAGGCAGCACTTGGAGTGTTTGAGAGAAAAATTATCCCAAAGATCTATGGACCGATCTGCGTTGACGTTGAATATCGTCGTCAAATGAACTATGAGTTGTACCAGCTATTCTCGGACATCGACATTGTTAGACGTTTTGAGCTGCTGCGACTACGTTGGGGAAGCCCAAGAATAAAAGAAATTGCTAACACTCAGTTTGAGAGCTGGGTCAATGGAGCGAAAATAAATCGGGGCCTTCTTAATGAACAAACTTTAATTCTTTTTGAAAACTTTATGTAAAGAAAGTTTTATTCATCAGAAGTCCTTAAAATTACCTAAAAAATAAGCAGATACTTCCTTTATGTTGGGGGGCTATATCAAAAAAAGGACCTAAATCGAAAATCTTGTGGAAATATATAGATACTTCGGTAGAAATTAGTTAAAAACTCACCGAAATAAAAATAAAAAGCGGACCTGTAACATAGCCCCCCAAACCTGAACCTATTTTAAAAATTTTCTGCATATATTAATATCAACTCCTAAAACTCCAATTTCAAATTGATTTTACGATGGTGAGAGATGCCGATATAAGTGGGCTACACAAAATTTATGGTGAAGGGTATAAAAATCCACTCTTATGTATAGTCCTCGATTTTTTTAATTCACACTTGTTTGCAGTTATCTACAAATATTAGAAATATCCACACTTGTTTACATTCATTAAAAACTATTAAAAAAACGCTAAAGCATGGATCCTGATTTTTTTAATCCACGCTTACTGCTGGCCTTTAAAAAAATTTTGAAAATTAACCCGCTGGTGTAAATTCCGCGTAAAAATATTTAAATAAAAAATGTACGATTGTTAATAGTACTTGGAAATATAAGGTTGGGGGAAAAGAAATCCATTAGGCCGGTCGTCGAAAATGTCGATGACAGTCGTAACATCGCCTGGGAGCTAAAAATCGACCATAAAACTATTTTAAACAAAAAACCGGATTTCAGAAGAAGATCGATGTTTAGGTGCTACACCAATTAACAGAAAAAATATGTTGGATCGAATTTGCATCTGCGAAGCCTTGGCAAAACGGAATGAGATATACCCATTTCTTTTAGGGATGGTTACTGGAGATGAGAAATGGATCGCATACGATAACCCTGTTCGAAAACGATCGATCATACAGTGGTCAAACCAGGACTAACGCTCAGGAAGGTTCTACTATGCATTTGGTGGGACTAGAGGGGGATTACTTATTATGAGTTACTTCCATATAGCCAAATGCTAAATTCTGATCTCTACAGTCAACAACTGGACCGTTTTAAGATAGCAATTGACCAAAAACGTCCAGAATAAGCCAACAGGAGAGGAGTCGCGTTCCACCAGGAAGTCTTAGAGTTCATATACAAATAATCGATTTCTTTTTCGCCAACCTTATATTTTAGAAAATTTATGGTTATGTTAGTCCATTAAAAACATTTTTACAAATCCACCTAAATGTTTACGATTGAAGACATATTGTAAAAAAACTCCCTGTTTTAAAATTTTTTTAAAAATATTTAAAAAACTGTTATTCATTATATTTCTTTCCGCAAATCCAAGCAAAGTAGTCTAATTTATTTTTCCAAAAATATTTTTAACAAATCCACAGCCTTTGGTCCTATATACCTTTCATGATCATAAAAAACTACAGGACATTGTCCTGTATATTGCATTTGAAATAGAATGAATTATATTTTGAGGAATTTACTTACCTCAGCTCAAATCGCCAAACCCCTTCCTTATGGAAATATTGCGTTTCAGCATGCTTACGATTATCACCAACATCATTGTATATATTCTGGATTTGTTATGTTTTTCTAAAATTAAACAACAGACAAATAAAAACAAATTAGCATGGTGTATTACTTCCTTGCAAAATTTTCAATTGTATATTCAGTGGCATCTATAAATAACAACGGCAAAATAAATAATAATATTTAAATATATCCTAAACATATCTGAATTAAGTAATACATTTTTAATATATGTATAGAAATCTATAGAACAAAAATTTACTTTAATTACTGAATGCTTGATGAACCATAAATATTCATAAAAAGAAAGAAGAGAGACATATTATGAGAACACATATGACCTAACCTTTGTTAACCTCTTGCAAAAAAAATCAAAGAACTAAAAGCTTTTTGGCATATTATCCCAAAATTTGGGCAAAAATTCAAAACTATTCTAGCAAAAGATTTAGTCGTTGAAAAGATCTCTAAACGTTAACAACCTTACTATACCAAATACCACAGATTGACAAAAGAATTTCATAAAACCATCATCAAACCGGCAATTTCTATAACAATCATTAATATTCAAAATTAAACAAAAACGAAAAAATATATCGTTGACTAGACAAAACTGAACTCAGACCATGAACTTGACCAGCTAGTCAGTCAGCTGTTTAAGCCAGAGGCCAAATTCATGTTAACATCAAACCAACACATAACTACAATAACAAGTTTTCTGCCAAAAAAGCTAAAGGCAACAGATCAAAAGTTCACTGAACCCCACGGACCCACGGCTAATATAGCAGAGAAAGAAAACAAATAGGAACAAGAACAAACAAAAACAGAGAAAGATTCCAAACACCATAGACACCAATAGCCAACCCAATAATGAAATTTTGTTCAATTTTTTCGTTGGCATTGTTTGCCTTTTTCTTCAAAACGAATTTCTTGGTAAATGGAGAATTGATTACAACAACCACCAGCAACACCATTACTGGTCAAGATGATTTACTTGAATTACTGCACACCGAAAAAGTTATAATTGGTGGCCTAAGGCATTACATTGATGTACAAGAACAAAAATTGGATATCTTAAGAAGGTAAGGCACAAAGGGAAAATTATTGAAATTATCATAGAACAAATATAATCAGAAAATTAACTATGAACAAGGGATGAAATGAAAAAAAATGTATCGTAATTTTTTTCAATTTTTGCAATTTTAGGAAAACTCAAGAAATCCAAAATATTTACGATGGTGTTGGTGATAATCGTGAAGGTTATTTAAATAATCCCATTAATGCCGTAACTATGCTGAAGCGTATAACCTCCGATTGGAAGGGTTTGACGAATTTTGCTGAAGATTATTTGGATACCGAAGGTAAGACAAATATCTCTGTAAATTGCAAAACAAAAACATCCGGTCTATACAAAACTGGGCATAACTCTAGTTTAGTAAAAACGATCAAATTTTTTTAAAATTTTTTTCCAGAGGTAAGAATTTTTAACCTAATTAAGGGGATATATTTTTCTCTTGGGGAACGTACCCGGTTACCCGGTTATTTGACCCAGAAGTTAGGGTACGGGTACCCGGTTATATCCGGTTCTACGGATCTGGTTAATATAAAATGGGTATCATTTTAAAGGTTATAAAAATTTCCATTTAGTGGTGATATGATGGAGTTTTCTCAAACCGTTTTGGAGATACAGTCAAAAAACTGAATTTTGGACTCCGATTTTATTGAAAACTCCCTTAAAAGTCGAACTTAGGTCCATTATAGTCCCTCTCCAATACTGATAGACCACAATTTGCCCTTTCTAAAATAACCGGGTAGGTCCCCCAAGAAAGAAAGATACCCTATTAATTAGGGTAAAAATACCTACCTCTGGAAAAAATGCAGAAAAATCTGATCGTTTTTACTAAACTAGAGTTGTTTCCAAAACTGTAGATCAATGTATGTGTTTATGTTTCGGATCTAGTAGTGGTGGATTTTGTAAGAAAATTCAAAAGGAGTGTATATTTTATGAATATTTTTGAACGATATAGAGTGTTGGATTTTTCAAGAATATTTTCGAAAGTTATATAAGACCATTAGGCGTGGATTTTTTAGGAATATTTCGATTTTTATTTGCGAAATTTTTGAACGGTATATAAAAACAATAGACTTTTGAACAATAAACCAATAGGCGTGGATCATTCAAGAATATTCTTTAAAGACAATAGCCGTGAATATTTTAAGAATAATTATTAACAAAAAATGTCACAAAGTGGTCTGGACGAGGCCTAATTATCAAGAACGCCTTGACATTGACTGATATGGATCATTTAATATGAACGGCAGAAATATTCTCGACACTTCGGCTAACCCTTTATCAAACTGTAGACTTACATTTTTCTAATTTTACCGAATTTTCCAACCTCAGTGTCTGTCATTTTCTCAGAGAAAATTTCATTCAAAAATTGGGCTATCGTGTTTTTTATTTTATATTAGTCTTTACGGATCTGATCTAGATGTAGGAACTCAAAATTATGTATAGATTAAAAAAATATATTAAAATCCACGTTTAAATGATAATCTATATAATTTGAAAGTAACGGACAATAACCATTGTTGTAGTCGCTGTATACCAAAGGAAAACCAAGTTGGTTTCTGACTTCTAGGAGTCGTCCTGATGGTCCCATGTTATGTAGGGCTACAGATTTGTAAAGGGGTTCGGGAACACCTAAATAAGATTCCTTTAAAAAAGAATACCTATAAATAATTAAAAAAAACCGTTAAATTTGAATGGGTACAACTATACCACGGTTATTGATCTACTTTTTTGGTTATTGACCGTAGGTTTCCTTAGACCTTCGCAAATCGTTTTTTGCTTATTTATTTATTTTTTGCTGATACATATGACAACCATTGAGCGGAGCAGTATAGTCAGACAGGAGAGACCATATGATACTTTACACAACTACCACTGAACTCTAATTCTCTACGTGTGTACATTAGGAGCCTGGGCAATAGATCGCAATATTTGGAAGCTCCTCCACTTTTTTTACCTTGGCATCTTTTCCGAAGCATATTTCCCGAAGTGAATATTTTCCCCATAAGATTATTTTTTTATTTTATACAAGAAATTCTTGGTTCATTAGAGCCGCTAAATATTGACCGATCATTATCAAAATAGACATTGTAATTAGTAGACCAGATATTCCTTTACCGTGTAACATTTGTGATATTCGGCGTATAATAGTGGTCTCACATTAAGTCTTCGGTAAAATTGTGAGGTATTCGGGTGATGATTGTAATAATATAGGGAATAAAGAGAAATCCATTATTTTTATATGAAGTATAGGATTTTATTAAACATGCTTCGGAATGTCCGATTTGGGCCAAATATGCACCGTTTTGTTGTATGATTTGTTGCCATTTTGAAAGTAATTTCATAATGCCTCTCTCAGAGAAATCCTACTCTCTATTTGCAAAAAACTCTAGTAGTCGATTTTCACAATCCTCCCTAGATACCAATTTTTTATCTTTAAAGAAATTTTGCAATGAAAATATGATAATCGCTTGGTGGCGAGTCCGAACTGTATGGCGGATGCATTAAAATTTCACAACCGTTGTCCTGGTGGAACACGACCCCTATCCTGTTGGCCAATTCTGGCCGTTTCTGGTTAATTGATATCTTCAAACGGTCCAGTTCTTGACAGTAGAGATCAGAATTTAGCGTTTGGCCATATGTAACGCATAATAATCCCCTTCCATCCCACCAAATTCATTGCAGAACCTTCCTGACCATTAGTCCTGGTTTGGGTTTGAGATGCTTCACCGCTCTTTGACCACAATCATTTTCGCACAGGGTTATTGTATGTTATTCCATCCTATTTTTTCTGTTAATTGGAACTTCTTCTTGAATTCAGACTTGTGTAAATGGTTTAAAACAGTTTTATGGTCGATTTTTAGCTCCTGGGCGATGTTACGACTGCTAACATGCCGGTGAACTTCGGTCATTTCTCCATTTTTATCGACATTTTCGAATACCGGCCTAATGGATTTGTTTTTCCCAGCCTAATATTTATAGGTGTATATGTGTTATGATATTGTTATTGATATTGTTGAGTACCCCAACAGATGGCGTAAATATAGCGTTGGTCGCTTAAAATTTTACATGAAGTTCCGTTATGGTCAGGCACGACGTCTATAATTTTCGTTGATGTTAAGATATATACGGTTAAGGGAATATGACAAAATACTTAGAACGGCTCTTAAGATTACAATCGGTCAATATTCCTTAGGTCGAATCAATCAAAACCTAAAGTGACAAAATTTGTGTTTTATGGCGAAAATATTCTACTCGGGAAAACAAGATTTGGAAACAATGCCAGGGTTAGAAAGTGGAGCTGTTGACCTATAATCGGTCAAGAATATTGAACCGTAGAAACTTAGATTTTCGTGGTAGTTGTGTAGAGTACTATATGGTGGTGTAGGGTATATATTGCTCCTCTCACTGGTTTATAAATATTTTCACTTACAGTAGTTTTTATTTGGCTGCCTTGCACATAGCATAGCACTTTGGATTTAGCTAGTAAAATACAGTTCTTTAGTACTTTTTATCAGATTCCCTTGAAGATATCTGCACTTTTGACTTTCCTGCACAGAAATCTATTGCAAGTGCTGTTTGTGCAGGTAAGTTAAACTACGGTATTCCTTTGTATCTTTCAATTATTTGTAAAATGCATATTTGTAAAATGCAGCGTCCATCCCTAAATAAGCAAGGACTACAACCACTGCAAAAAATAAACTAGGTAGTGTTTATAGGTAGGGATATATGGCAGTCCCATCACCTACGACAGCCTGCATGTCGCTGTTTAACATTTTCAGGTATATAATCGACATTTCTGGAAACATGTTTTGTAAAACTCGAGAAAAAATTAAGGGTTATATTATAGAATAAAATTAAATAACATAATAAATATTCCTCTGTATCCAACGTCTATCTTTAGCCAATAAACTCTGCCCTTCATGTTCATAGAATTTTAAAACTCCGCAGGTCTATTTTCTTGACATATTCTTAATTAATTCCAATTAATTATCTTTCGAATGAGTTCAATACAATAAACAAGTAATTTTAATTTCTTCTTATTTTAATTTCTCTTTCAGAGCTAACCAAAAACATTACACAAAATGAAGAAATCACCTTCCCCACCGATGATGATTACGAATCGGCTTTGTTTGCTCTGCTGCGTATTCAAGATATGTTCAAATTGGAACCACAACGATTGTCAGTGGGTGAAGTGAATGGCATTAAAATGGGGTAAGTAGGCGGCGACTAATTTAAAATTGCTTCCAAGAAATTGTAAATTGAAAATTAACACAAATGATGGCATTAATGGTAATCATTACCTTGGCAATTCCTTCACTACTCACCACTCACACTCACACACACACATTAACATACGCTCTTATTCCCATAGTTCTGAAATGTCCTGGAGTGATTGTTTAGAACTTGGTCTAAAGTCAAATGAGAATGGTTATCCCGCAAATGCGAAATATTGGATGGAAACGGCCTTAGAGAAGATACCTATTGTGGGGAATTTGCAACAGCAACAACAAAATTCTACGGAAACGGATATCACAGATTCGGCTGCTAAAAATTTAAATTATTTTAGAATAAAGGCACGTTTGGAAGTTTTAGGAGCTCTGATGAATGTGGAATATAAATCAGGTAGGCGATTATTCAAAGGATATTTTTTTAGTGTGCAATATTAAATGTTTTCAATAAAAAATAAATAAATCTACCACAATCATAAAAGCGAAATAAAGTTTGTTATTACTTGTTAAATTTGTGAAAATATTTTTCTGTAACATCAATTTTGTGTGTAATTTAATTAATATTGTTCATGTTTTTTTTCTTTTCTTTATTTTTTATAGGCAATTTAGACAAAGCTTTGAAAATAGCCGATGAAATGTTACAATTCAACCCGAAGCAAAAAAGTGTTATTAAAGCTATGAAATTAATTAAGGACGATATGGAAAAGACGAAAAAATCTTTAAATGGAAAACAGAATAAAAAAGCAGAGAAAAAGGTAAATGTAATAACGAAATGAAGAGACGTAGGCGGCAAAAATTTTGCTTACATGTTTTTAATGTCAAAGCTAATATTGAAATGTAAAATGGGGTCCCTGGGTTCAAGTTTTGATATAGCAAATATATAACCGTATCTCCCGATTTAAGGTAATTTTTGTCTATTGGCACAGAGTGTTCTCTTTGGGTACCAAATGTCTATGCAAAAATTTATATATGTAGGTCCACGTTTGACATTAAAAACATGTAAGCAAAATTTTGGCAACCTATGTCAAGTGGTTCGGCAGTTAATGAGTTTATACCCAATTTTTGGATAAATACTCGGGTATTTACCCAAGTATTTACCCACGTTTTAAAGTATCGTAAAACTATCCATTCTAAAACGATTTGGTGACAGAAACCCGGAAAAATGGTGTAAGATGTTGGATTACCGATTCAATACAGTAATCACCCAAATAAATACCCACAAATGGGTATTTACCCAATTTACCGGGTATTTATCCACTGCCCATCTCTACGCATGGTAGGATGGAACAAGCGTATAAAATACTCAAAAAAAAATAATCAAAAATTCACGCTAAATATTAAAAATACCGAAAATCGGTAGATATCAATCAAATACATTGTACCCAGCACCTCAAACGGTGGCCAAGCCAGGACTAACGGCCAAGAAGGTTCTGCTATCCATGGGTGGGACTGTAGGGAGATTATTTATTAGGAGTTGCTTCCATATGGCCAAACGCTAAAGTCTGACCTCTACTGTCAACCACTGGACCATTTTAAGATAGCAATTGACCAGAAACGGCTAGAATTGGCCAACAGGAGAGGTGTCGTGTTCCACCAGGACAACGCTAGACCACACACATCTACAGTGATTCGGCAGAAACTTCGGGAGCTTTTTTGGGAAATTTTAATGCATCCGCCATACATTCCGGACTTGGCACCAACCGATTATCATATAAAATAAAAAAAATATGGGAGGGACCTTTATATAGGGTATACACCTAAAGATGTGCCGATAACTTTAAAGTTTAAATTTTAGGCTAGACCAAAAAACGTGGAACTATATTGAAATGTTCTTGGGTAGAAATTCATTTACAGACCTCAAAATACCACCAAGAACCCGTAATGACTAAATATAGGAACTTCGGTTTTTTGTTGTCATTGCATCGACAAATTATATAAATGTTCGAGTTCCTATATAGTTTGGGTCTGTCTCTATATTTCCCGGTTTAAAAAGGTTGCATCTGAAGCTGAAAAGTTGATGGGTCCACATACCATATGCAGGGTATGTGGACCCGAATGGGATGCATAAGTTGGCTGTACCAGTCCGATCTTGGTTGAACTAAAAACAATCGCACATTCCGTTCTTCTGCTGTCATCGGTGGTGATTCTATTCAAAACTCTGCATTTGCATGGTATTGATTTATACAGGGATTGTTTATTATATTTTTGGAACTATTTTCGGAATCGAGCCATGAGACAATGTCATGAATGATTCCGACTCTAACCTTGTCTCGAATATAGGTGGTATGCACAGGCAACTTATTTAAATTGCGGACGTTGCACCCAAAATTTTGAGACTTCTTAAGGATTTATTTCGACCCATGGGGCGAACAGTCTGCCTGCGGATATTTTAATATACCAAAATCTGATGCAATTTATGACAGTTTCAATGGCAACCATCTTAGTAGGATTAGCAATGTATGAGCCAAATTTCAAAGATAAATGTGGTGACCTCTATCGTGATTTCTTCTACCATGAGGATGTAATGGGGGGAGAAAACTCATGTTATAATAGGACCTTAAACATATCGAAAAATACATGTCAAAAAGATGATTGAACATCTCAAAACACCTATGAGTGGGGCTACAGTTATATGGGGCAATAATAAAACGGAGATCAATATTGATATTTTTTGATAGTGCGATTCGACAGCCAATGAAAAACCAAAATACAAAATTACAGTCAATTCGGTTGTTATTCAATCAGAACCCAAAATACCAAATTGCCGTCAATTCGGTTTGAAAACGAGTCCAAAATACCATTTTGCAATGTCTGTGCAAAATATCAGAGCTCTGTCTTAAATATTGCGATCTCAATCGTGATTTCAGCAGTCAGACGGACACTTGTAAATCGACATAGAATATTATTCTGGGGTCTCCGATGAATAGTTCGAGGTTGTGTAAACGGAATGACAAACCTAATATGCACTCCTCCTTATAGTGGAGGGTATACATATATACTTTATTGGATCTCCAACAAATATTGCGAGGCGTGTCATATGGAGTCACAAATTTAATACACATTCCGTCTTATGGTAGAGAATATAAAATAAAAAATAGGTTTCTTGAAAAAGTTATCTACATCGAAACAATATTTAAAAGGTTAAGTGGATTCTTGAAAACTAATTATACCGTAATTACCCATCCGAATTTAATTGAAAATAAAGTTAGTACAAATAATGTAACATATAAACTCCCTCGACCTTTCAAAAACAAAATTTTAACTTTTCTTACATCCATCCGCATCATCAACAACATCATCTCAACATATATTCTTTTCGATCAAATCTTCAATTTCCTTTTCTAATTCAATTTTTCTTTGTTCTCCCTCCCTCACATTGTATCTTGTATCTTTTCCACAAACACCCATACCCACACAGATTCCAATCAAGAAAACTGACGAAGAATTGATGATTGAGGAAATTTGCCGGGAGGCAACCAATAGCCAACAACAGCAGCAACAAATCCATACCGCCCAACTGGAAACATCAACCGACAACAACAACAACGACAACCACAACAACATTCCTCAATGTTCTCTGGTTGCATACAATTCAAAATGGTTGTTGTTACAACCACTGAAAGTGGAAATTTTGAATGTAGATCCTTTCATTGTCATCTATCATCAAGCTGTGAATGACAAGCAATTGAATGAATTGAAGGAGTTTTTGGTTGAAAAACAGGAGGAGGACAATTCCATTGGTGGTGATGGTGACGACGACAATGGCATGTTACAGTTGACAAATATTGGTCTGAAAAAAATGCACCGACTCAATGAAAAATTGCATTCAGTCATTGGTCATGAACGTGCAGCGTTGAATGCCAGAAATTGGCGTTTCGATTTTTACAATTTCGAAAATATTATGGAAGTGGAGAAGACTGCAACGACGACGAAGCAAAAATCAGTTACCACAAGACAAGCTGGTGTAATGTTCAATGTAAATATTGAAGAAGTTACGCAGAGAATATTTTCAGTATTTTGGTATTATTTGTGTTGTTATTTTTCTTTTTGTAGTTGCAACAACCAAAAATGGGTGGCTCGGTGATATTCCCTCAACTCCAATTTAGTGTTAGTTTACCCAAAGGGGCCTTACTTTATTGGACAACATTAAACGAATTTGGCTCAGAGGATTATCGTTCGAAATATTACGTCTGTCCTGTTATTGGAGGCTCACAAATAAGTAAGTATTGAAATAAATGTTAAAATGTGGATGTAATTTAAAAAAAAATGGGAATATGTTATAGGTTGAAGTAAAATTTTCACCGTAAAAGAAAAACATTATAAAGGTATAGATTCGAATTAAATAAAACATCGGTTTCTGAAATGGAGACTTAGATGTTACCATAATCAGAAATGTTTTCGAAAGTGGTATTGAAAAATATTGAGTTGCCGATATATGATTATTCCCGAATTGTTTTACTTTAATTTTTTTTATAAAATATTCTCGTTATTTATTTTTTAAATATACACCTTATACAGGGCTTTAAAAAATAATGTATAAATTCTACGCCTTGTACAAGGCTTTACCAAAATAATATATAAATTCTAGGCCTTGTACTTAATTACTTAGCTAGCTTGTTAGAGAACGGTTGTTCCATAAGCCGAACTTAAAAAAGATTTCAAAACGCGTCGGTCTTGCGTATCTCCGCCAATTTGAAAGACCACGTTCCAAGATGTTGTTTTCTACCTGGTCTTTCCATCTAAATCGTGGCCTTCCCCTTCTACGGGAACCATCTGTAGGATCGCTTTTATATGGCTTTTGAGCTGGGACATTCTCATTCATTCGCACGACATGGCCTAGCCATCGGAGAATTTTTCTTTCAAAACCCCTAAGAGCTGCCTCATCTGCTTGCGCAAGTACCTATGCTTTAGATCCATTTAACAGCACGGGTAGTATCAGCGTCTTGAAAAGTGTGAGTTTGTTCTGGCGGGGGGTGGTCTTGTTTCTAAACTGCTTACTTTGACCATAGTAGCATCTGTTGGCCATCACAAACTTTCTCCGAATTTCAAAACTCATGTCATTAGTTTTATTTATGGCGATACCAAGGTATATAAAATCTTTAAATACCTCGAAGCTGTGGTTCTCAAGTTCCACAGTTGGTCCGAGTCTACTGGACGTCTTGCGCGTTGATACCATCAGCTTGGTCCTCTCGCCGTTTACTGCCAGACCCACTTTGGCAGACTCCTTCTCACACGACAAACTATCACCTTGTATGACTCCTCATTCGGTATTAAATGGCTCCGAGAGGTCCTTTCCGAACTAACTGCTGATCTTGTGCCTGTTAAAGTTATCCGAATTAATTTTGCAGGAATGCCAAACGTAGACATGGCTTTATACACATCTGAACGGATAGGGCTGTCGAATGCGGCTTTATAGTCGACGTATAGGTGGAATGTGTTTTTCAGGATTTGGCGCAAAGTGAAAATTTGGTCAATGGCGGATTTGCCAGGTCTGAAGCCGCATTGGTATGGTCCAATAATGTCATTGACCATTGGCTTCAGTCGTTCACACAGTACGCCGGGTAGTACTTTATATACGGGAAGGAGACTTATTCCTCTATAGTTGGCACATATCTTCTTGTCTCATTTTTTGTGCACGAGACAAAGGATGCTGAGGTTCCAATCATTGGTCATGGATTCCTCTAGCCAAATTGTACTAATCAGCTGGGGCATGCTTCTGACCAGCATCTGACCACCAGTCTTGAATAGTTCGGCTGGTAACCCGTCGGCACCTGCTGCTTTATTGTTCTTGAACCGATCTTGGCTAGTAGCATTACGACACCCCTGATCGTACCATGGGTTTCTTGGTGGTGGTTTTTGGTACCCAAGTGTTGCTTTTGCTGCAGTTTGTAGGGAGTGGGCAATTCTTAGCCATTGTGCGTCTATACTATTATCGGGACAAGAAGTGCTTTCTTCAAACAAATGGGTAAGTTGAGCGGAGTAGGCCTCAGCTACCTGTTGTGTTTGCAGCTTCTCGACGTCGAATTTCCGTGTTGTGTTAGATCGCACCTTTGCTGCAACATTAAGACGAGTGCGAACCTTGACTGCTACAAGGTAGTGGTCCGAATCGATATTCGCTCCTCGGATCGATCGGACGTCTACAACACTGGATGAATGCCTTCCGTCTATCACAACATGATCAATTTGATTTCTCTTTGCTTGATCAGGAGAGATCCAGGTGGCCTTGTTTATATCGAGATGCTTGAATCTGGTGCTGCTAACTAACATGTTTTTGCTGCCGCGAAGTTAATCAACCTCATGCCTTTGTCGGATGTTTCTTCATGAAGGCTGAATTTTCCGACGGTGGCGCCAAAGATATTTTCTCTTACGATTTTTGCATTTGCAAGATCTCCTAGCAGAACTTTAATGTCATGGCCAGGACAGCGGTTATATGTTGTTTTTAGGCGCTTGTAAAATATATATTTGGTCTGCTTCGGTCGGAGTGTGGGCGCAAATAAGACTGATGTAGAAGAACTTCGCTTTTATACGGATTATAGCAATTCGCTCATCTACTGGAGTAAATGTGAAGACGCAGTCTTTTATTCTCCCGTTAACCATAAATCCGCAGCCAAATTCATGTCTCGTTTCATGGCATCTGTAATACAGTGCGTAATCATCTGATTTACTTACGCCAGTCCCTTTCCATCGCATTTCCTGTAAGGTAATAATATCGGCTTTGTACTTCTTGAGTATATCCGCCAAAGCGAACACTGCGCCTGTTCTGTACAACGTGCACACATTCCATGTGCAGATTCGCAGATCGTGATGCTTTATACGTTTGCGGGGGTCGTCAACATTAGGGGGTTTTGGTTTTCTTTTTCTTTAGTTTTTCATATTAGGAGGGGTTTTCTGAGTGTGGGCAACTAACCCGACGCCTCAACCCATTTTAAAGTTCTTATGGGTGAACTCGCGGCGTATATCTCTATTTTAACGGGCCTCGCCATGTTAAAGCTAACCAGAGCCGTTGCTTGGTATCTATCATCCCCTAGGCCAAACCTAGGCCTTGTACAGGGCTTTAAAAAATGTATGCCCTAGATGGGTATTGAAAAAGGTCATTAAAATATACACCCTGAATAGGTCTTTAACCTTGGGCATGTCCTTTAATAAATTATTTAAAAGATCGATACCCTGGGCAGGTCCTTAAAAATTATTTAAAAGATCCACACCCTGGGTAGGTGTTTCAAAAAAATAATTTAAAAAATCTATGCCTTGTGTAGGTCTTTAAAAATATAATTTAAAAAATCTACGCCTTGTGAAGGTGTTTAAACAAATATTTAAAAAATGTACGCCCTGGACAGGGATAAAAATTATTAACAAACTCTACGCCTTGGACTGGGTTTCAAAAAAATATATATATATTCCTCTAAAAGACCCAATATGTTCCTCTTTGCACATTTAATTTTGGCCACACATCACTATGTATTTAACGACTTTATCAAACAAATGTTATCACAGCACATTTTCAAATATTTTTTCTATTTTTTTTTCTTTTTCAATTACTAATCCAAACAATTTTTATGTCATCTTCTTTCTCATTTACAGCTGCCACCACCTTTGTAAGAGAATCCTAAAACAGTGGAACCGAGCTGGAGAGTAGCATTCGATCAACACTGTTGATTACCATCAAACATTAGTTTATTAATATTTAACATTTAAGACAAACTTGTAGCTAAGACTTTTTTATTTTACCAATAATAATAATAAAACAACAAAACAAATATTGAAACATAAACCCCCAGACATCAGAAAAGGCAACAGATATTTATTACACAGACTGTCCAAAGTGACGTTAACCATCAATTAGTGGCAAACGTCAAGACGATAACGTTTACAACAAAACAGCTACTATCAAAACGCTACATCATCTTCTTCGTCCATTTGGATATTGCGTTGGTGTATCGCATCGTCAAAATGTCAAGGGGATAATAATAACACTGCCAACAAAATTTATTTCAAAGTCAATAAATTTACATTTATTATTATACTTCTTAATATTGTTTAATTGACGTTGTCAATTAACATTACAGTTGATATAGACGACGATGTATTCTCCGCGTTTCTAAGGAGATTAAAGTTCATGGTAAACAAGGAAGTAATACCGAACAAGAGACTTATTTTCATAATATTTAATATCAATGCAAAATAATAGTGCAGTGAAAAAAACGTAAACGAAATTTGAGTATAAGGTAAGATGTACCCATCAAATAAGAAATAAATGCCATTTGGGGATGAAAGTCCTTGGCGAGTATGCTAAAACCCAGAAGGACATATAATTTTTTAATCTGAACTTTTTTTAAATCTAAACATGAGGTTAGGTTTGTATACCCTGCGCAACTATATTGTAAGATTATTGATTTGTAGAGATGGTATTTACCGGGTAAATGCCCAAGGGGTGGGTAAATACCGGGTAAATAGCCATTTGCGGGTATTTATTTGGGTATTTACTATATTGACTCGGTAATACAACATCATAACCCTATTTCCGGGTTTCTGTTATCAAATCGATTTAGAATGGATAGTTTTACAATACCTTAAAGACGTGGGTAAATACCCGAGTTTTTACCCAAAAATTGGGTATAAACTCATTAAATGCCGAACCACTAAACATAGGCGGCCAAAATTTTGCACACATGTTTCTAATGTCAAAGCAAATATCCTGGGTCCAAGTTTTGATATAGCCCCCATATAACCATATCTCCCGATTTAAGGTATTTTTTGTCTTAAGGTATAAAATGTGTCTTACAACCAAAAGGGCTGTAATTTGGCACAGAGTGTTCTTTTTTGGGTTCCAAATGCAAATGCCATGCAAAATTTTATGTATGTAGGTCCACGTTTACTGGTAGCCCCCATACAAAGGTACCCCTATTTTGAGTATTTACCCAAAAATTGGGTATAAACTCATTAACTGCCGAACTACTTGACATATAACCAATTTGGTCGTAAAATGTGTCTAATAGGCAAAAAATACCTTAAATCGGGAGATATGGTTATATGGGGGCTATATCAAAACTTGGACCCAGGGACCCCATGTTGGATTTTTATATTTGCTTTGACATTAGAAACATGTGTGCAAAATTTTGGCCGCCTATGTCAAGTGGTTCAGCAGTTAATGAGTTTATACCCAATTTTTGGGTAAATACTCAAAATAGGGGTACCTTTGTATGGGGGCTACCAGTAAACGTGGACCTACATACATAAAATTTTGCATGGGCATTTGGTACCCAAAAAGAACACTCCGTGCCAAATTACAGCCAATTTGGCGGGTAAATATAAAATTCATGAATAAATAGCTTTTTAGACCATAGGTCTTCATTGAATCGAATGAGAATTTTTTTCTAAAACATATTGACCTTCTTTCTCGAGTATTGTGCCTCTCTTTCGTCCTTATTTTATTTAACCGTAAACTAAATACCACAAGACGAGATTTTTTGACATTCAAATATTCTACAAAAATGTCATTGCAAGATAGGGCCCCCAAAGACAAGAAATCGATATTTGTATGTTTTCATCGTTCTTTTCCACTTTAAACTGGAACTGTCGAATTCGTCTGAATTAATTGCCATAAGTAGATCTCATTACCTCAACTCCTTAAAAAAAATATTAGCGGGAGGCAGATTTCAGATTTGGAATTTTTATCCTACCCAGCTGCCCCAACAAATTGTGTTTCCTCTGTTTTGATAGGTATAGTTTTTTCCGTTTCGAATACTGGAAAAATTCAATTAATGACGTTGCAATTTCAATTTAAATCGGCACGAGCTGCATTGTAGGGGAGACTGGGGCACATTCGCCACTTTTTTAGGGTCTCAGTACTTATTCAGTAGATATAAGAACTTAATGGCTGTTTATTGCGCCGAATGCGCCCTACTTTTAATGACATTTTTTCATTTTTATACACTTCACCACTCTGTGGTACAGGGTATTATGTCTTTGTGCATATGTTTGTAACACGCAAAAAGAAACGATATAGACACATGGTTCCTTTTGAGAATATGCATAGAATCACTTTTTAAGACGATCTATGCATGTCCGTCTGTCTGTCCATGTTAAATTGTGAACAAAGTACAGGTCGCATTTATGATCTGAATTGGATAAAATTTGGCACAGCTCATTTGTTTGGCCCAAGGATGAACAATATTGAAATTGGGAAAATCGGTTCAGATTTAGATATAGCTCTCATATATATTTTCGTCCGATTTTATGTAAATGGTGTACCAAAGTCCCTATATATCTTTCGATTTGCACGAGATTTGGCACAGTGTACTAAATTAGGTTTAGAATGATGTGTGTTAAGTTTCCTGAATGATGTGTGTTAAGTTTCCTGAAGTTTCTAGAATGATATGTGTTAAGCTTCCTGAAAATCGGTCCAGATTTAGATATAGCCCCCATATATATTTTCGTCCGATTTTATGTAAATGGTGTACCAAAGTCCCTATATATCTTTCGATTTGCACGAAATTTGGCACAGTGTACTAAATTAGGTTTAGAATGATGTGTGTTAAGTTTCCTGAAAATCGTTCCAGATTTAGATGTAGCCCCCATATACTTTTCGTCCGATTTTATGTAAATGGTGTACCAAAGCCCCTAGATATCTTTCGATTTGCACACAATGTGGCATAGCGTAAAAATCGGTCCAGATTTAAATATAGCTCCCATATATATTTTCGTCCGATTTAATGTAAATGGTGTCGTCCGATTTTACACAAAATTGACACAAACTTTAAATGCTTTACCATGGTGGGTCCAATCGGCACAACATTTTGCTCTACGTACTGAAGTTACTATAACATAACGTGTGACAAGTTCAGTTCAAATCGGATTAGATTTTGATATAGCATATATATATGATTATTTGATTTTCATTATTTTGTCCCTAGTCCTTTAAAAATTCGACGTCTAGGTTTCATATGTTGGATATGCCGAAAGTGGTGAAGGGTATCATATAGTCGGCCCCGTCCGACTTTAGTACTTTCCTTACTGGTTTTTTCTATCAATCTTCTAAAAATCTAATATTTTTAATAAGAATACACATTGTAATTGATGACTTTTTAATAAAACTGCCTTAAAGTTTGAAAAATTGTATATACGAAATGGAAATAATACAAAAACATCTGTAAAAATGCAAAAAAAACCGTACATCTAAAAAAGTTTTTTGTAAATAAGTTATTTGTTTTGATAGTCGATACCTATGAATCAATGCTAGTTATGTACAATTTATTAAAAAATTTATTCGTTATTGATTCGTTTCCACGCAAGTAAGGGCTCTAGTATACAAAAATATAATCATTTCCCGGATACATGTTTATCAGCACAATAAATGCCAGTTTCTTTCAATATGTTGACGTAGGGCCACATCATTAGCAACAAAAACTACTACCTAACTTTATTCTAAACAATAAAAAAATTCAACTTCTCCAAATACTTGTCATGGATGTCAGTCATATTATCAATTTTGTATGCATGTGCCAAAAAAACTCGTACTAATTTACATAATTAAGTAGCTTAAATAAATTCATAATAAAAATACAAACATACATATATAAATATATGCATATGTATTAAGTTATAAAATTCAATCATGTTGAAATCATAAATTATCTTTAAATGGCAAGCAAGCAAATATTGAAGTTACGTGTGGCTAAATATTGCATATGATTATATTTTTTTCTTAACACTGATTGATATTAAAAACAATCTTATCATACTATATAGATCAATTTGATCACGAATAAAATTCAAAACTTTGATTTATTTAATTCCAATTAGATATCAAGAACTACGACAGGTTCTGGTTATTATTGCAAGTGTTATGATAATAATAATACCAACTATAAAATGCAATTAATTTCCAATCTTTTTATAACGTAATACATAATATATCATCTGTTAATCGGACCAAATTTGTATATGTATTCACACATGGATTGGAATAAACTGCACTTTTGAGAGAAAGTGAATGTATTTTTATTTGTGTGCCAGTTATCAAATAATCGATGACATTTGAAAGTGATACAATTATTAATGAAAGTTCATTGTCCAATTGAAACATTATCATATTGAGAGACCATAAATTAAATTTACAACATCTATAAATTTAATATATTATACTACCACAGTAGCAAGAGTGACGATATAAAAAATGCAAATTTTAAATATTACGAGATTTTGAGATTTAATAATGATAACACGAATTGGGACAAAATATTGCAAGTCTGAGCAGTCAAATGATGCATTTAAGTTAAATAATGAAAAAATAAAAACTTAAGGAAACAAATGTCTAAAGTTTAAAATAACCGTGAATTTGTACTTTATGATAAACTATAGTCAGACGAAACGCGTCGCCCAGACGGCGAGGGCCATTTTTGGTCCAAAGGTGTCAGATAAAGTACTAAATGTGATACCATCTGTATTTGGCGAACTTGTAGATCTAGAATTCTTAAATTTGAAATGAGGGTCACTGAGATATGGTAGAATATATGTGTCAAACAATTTTTTGGACATTCGAATTATAAATTTTCGAAAAGTACTAAATTAGGTAAAAATTCGAAGCATGTGAATGGATAGAGCTAAAAAAAATGAAGTTTGGAATGCGAATTAAGGTCGATATAAGGTGGAAGTTTGTACCAGAGATGGTCCGTCAAAAACGGTGACGTAAAAGCCATACATTTCCCACGTTGAATTTGGAGAAATGGATGGAACTGGATTATTGAAATTAACATTACCGTCGAAGTATGGGATTGGGATATGTAGCTAGTTTTGGGAATTGTATTTAAGTGTACGAAAAGTACTAAATGGTTCTAAAATCGGTACAGTTTGGATTTGGGTGAACCGATAGAGCTGAAATTTGGAGTTAGGGGTCACTGTAGGAGTGTAGAATTGAGATATGTAGGAAGTTTTGGACAATTTAATTTTTGGTTTAACTGATAGAGCTGGAATCCTAAAAATTCGGAGTTAGCGTCAATGTTAGAATGTATGAAGTTTTGGAAATTTGTACTAATGTGTACTAAATGGCACCAAATGTGGATTTTGGTATGCAGGAAGATTTGGAAATGATACAATTGAAATTTTTGGGTGAACAAATAAAGCAGGAATCCTGAAATCGGGAAATTATATTTCCATTAGTTGTATGATATGTGTAGTTTTGAAAATTCGTACTTATGTGTAAAAAATTTGGTACAATTTGAATTTTGGGTGGACCGACAAAGCTGGGATCCTGAAATTTTGATTTAGGGTCACAGTTGGGGTGTAGAATTGGGATATGCAGGAAGTTTTTTATGTGTAATGGTACCAAATGTGCATTTGGTCGACCGATAGAGGTGGAATCTTTAAATTTGAAGATAGGATCACTGTCGGGGTGTAGGGTACAATTATATTTGGGTGAAGGGATTGGGCTGGAATCCTAAAATTGAAAAATATGATTTCTATTGGATTAATATTAATGTGTACTAAATGGTACTAAATTTGGTAAAATTAGGAAGTATTTTTCGGAGACTACTTAATCTGAATAAAATTTTGTCATGTCTCTCTGTCTGTTAAGATCACTGTTGAGATCGTAGTACTAAAGATATAAATTTTGCACAGCCATTGCTGCGACTTTTAGTATGTTTGTTATAGAATGGCATATATCATTCCACCTTTTTCTACAGGTCCCATTCGTTTTTTAACCCAATTAGTTCTAATTTGGTATTTTTGATAGGAAACCTTCCTACAAAAATATTTGTTCACTTTTTGTATGGTATCTCGCATACACCACTGAAATGTAGGTATTTTGGGAAGTTTAGGCACGACATCGCAACAAAACTGGCTGTATTTTTTCAAACATCTAGTTCGATTTCTCCTCTCAGCAATTTACAATATCATAGTCGTCATATAAAAGTCCCAATCTAGTATATATATTTGGGATGCCCATCTCATGGTGGCCTAACATAACGCCATTTTTAATTATTTAATGTCATGCAGGGATTTACGCTGGTGAGGCTTTCAAAGGTTTGTTCTTTTATTATAATGCTTGGGTTAGTATTTTGTAATGTTCGTGTTAATATTAAGGGAAGACCATAAAAATCGATTCTAAAATCTGTTGAACACCTAAAATTAACTATTTATTCCTGAACGGAATCTACGACACCAAATTGCACATAATTGGCTGTTACAGTATATGAACCATAAACACCATTCACAATTTAAGCAGTTTAAGGGAACCCCACCCATTCTCGATTTTAATTTTTCAATATTTTCAATGGGCTGGTAAATCAATACCAATGCTTGTTAAGGTTTTTAACTTTGCACATATATATTTGAAGATTTAAAAGAGAAGAAACATAATTTACAAAAAAATTTTGTTATGTCTTTGTTGTTGTTTTTTTTTTTTTAAATTAAAGAGAATTCCTTATTTTTGATGGCGGGCATGATAACTCCTCACTGGAACATCGGAATCCGAAAATACCAACGGTGTTAGAAAGAGTACATGTCTGGCTCTCGTATGGACTAGGATTATTGAGTTCGCGCTAAAATTAACAAAATGGCGGACCTTTGAAAAAATATTGTTGGAAAATCGCCGATTTTTGACCAAAAACCAAGTTAAAAAATAGGGAAGATCTATAGCTATACACTCACAGAGAAACGTGTAAAAATTTGGAATCGATTGGGTTATTAGTTTTTGAGTTATCGTGCCCGCCATTCGCAAAAGAGAAAAACGCGTTTAAAGTTTGAGAAGCCCTTTAGCCGTCACTTAATGCTGACACAATAAATCGGCTATATCTTCAAGAGTTCTTGAGATTTTCACTTGAAATTTTGTAGAGACATTCTTGAATTTGTGTAGAATCGAATTAAATCAAAAATAATTTTGACCCCGAGAATGGGGGCATTTTTTCGCTTTTGTCAAAGAAAAGCTGTAAAAACAATTTACTGCGAAATGTCACCCTTCCAAAGAGCATACATCTGAAATTGTTTGATCGATACTTTACGAGAAATCTATCAAGGCAGCCAACTGCCGAAAAATAATGAATTTATTTTTCCCCAACCTAATATTTTTTTCAGTGTATAACACAATGCATAAATATCTGCATGTTGACATATGAATATTAGTACGAAGAGTTGCAGAGTAACGAAAATTTTGTAATAAAACAAAAACAACATCATAATATTAGGGAAACACATCACAGCGACTAAACTTAAAATTTAGTTGATTATCAAACTCTCAATCGATCGATCGGCAAAACACAGCGCGCTAAAACCAAAAAAAAAAAATGATATTTTGTTGCCCTGCTAAAGAAGATTCACATGCAATTTATTCCGTTTACCTTTTGAAAATTCATTAAAAAAACTAACCCATCTCGTTTTGTTTTTATTTTCGACTGAAGACGTCACACGCCATCGTTGTTGTTGTTATTGCCGCGATTCGAGTGTTAAACATCAGCAGCATTTCTAATTAAACCTAACAAATGAAATCCAGTCGGGTGTAGTCAAGCGAAGCGAACAAAAAACATAGAAAACCGGCAAAATAAACGTTCCGCGCATACTCAGTATCTATTTGATGTGACAACAAGCGAACTATTAGATTAGTGTGTCCATCATTAGCATTGCCAGTGTCATCAAAGTGCCAAGTTAACTAACAAAGCTAACAAGACGAAGTCGAAGACAAGAAGTGATTTTAAGAATGATTTTTAGTTCCGCCGGTAGATTTGTTTGCATTTTCGTAATTTGTTCGTTAATATGGTGGTCTTGCGCTCAGGTTTTATCCCAGGACGGTGACGATGGTGATGATTATTATTCATCTGTAGCGGGTTTGGAAAAACTTTTAAATACCGAACAAATTTTATTAGCCGATTTAAAATATTACATTGAAACAACAAAACAAAGTATTGAAGTGTTGGAAAAGTAAGTTTTTTTAACAAAAAAAAAAAAAAAAAAAATAAATAAAATAAAAAACAAATAAATAAACGAAAGTGGAACGATAAAAATTATTAACATACAAACATGGAAATTAAATGTGTGTATATTTATGTATTTGCTATGTTTCAGATATAAAATATGTTTATGTGTGTAAATGAGAGTGTTAAAGCTACACAGCTACGAGTGTTAAACAATAATCGGACTTTATATGTGTTTGTATTAGAGTTAAAAAGTATTATTAATTAAAGATGTGCAATACAAACATAATCGGAAAGCATAAATCGCCACGTTGATATATTAATTCAAATTAAAAGTGATTTATGTTCGGCATAAATATATGTTAATAAGATATTGTGATGTCAAGTGCGGTAAAAATTTTAAGCAAAAATGGAACAATGGTGTCGTGAATATACAAGGTTGTCGATTTCATGGGTTCCAAAATAAAAGCAAAAATTAATGGAAATAAATTTGTAAAGCCCTTTTTCGTGATATATTTTTATACCCTACACAACTATGTTGTCAGCGTATTATAGCTTTGTGCGGCTCCAACTCGACTGGCGGAGTCGAGTCTGTCCGTCTGTCCATTATCATTTGTAAACACGATACATGTCACAGCTATGGTCCAATTGTCACGAAATTTTACATGTTGGACGGGTTCTGGCCAAAGAAGACCCCCATTGTTTTTGGTAGTGATAGATTAATATTTAGGGGATGAAATGCGCCAAAAACATTATTATACCCTACACAACTATGTTGTCAGGGTATTATAGCTTTGTGCAGCCCCAAGAGTTTGTAACGCCGCGAAATATTGGTCCTTTATATATACCGATCGTCATATCTCGACTAGCTGAATCGATCCAGACATGTGTGTCCGTCCGTCTGTCCATTATAATTTGTAAACACGATACAGGCCACAGTTATGGACCAATCTTCACGAAATTATGCATGTATGATAGGTTCTGGCCTATTGTTTTTGGTAGACTTCGGTTAATATTTAGGGGATGAAATGGACCAAAAACTTTATTTTTGTATGATTTTCTGTCTGTTTTGATAAAGATCCGTCAATATTTAGTGGACCCTGACTTTTGTGTGAAAAATAAAAAAAATTGTAGTCTATATCGTATATATTTACCACTTAAGGATGTAGACCCAAGAAGTTGACAGTACATCCAAGAGGAGTGGTTGACCTTTAAATTGTCGTATATACTTGGATGTGGGAGTTACATTTAAATAGATATATACATATATATATATATATATATATATATATTATTCAGTAACACATTCATATATTATTCAGTAACACATTACCTTGCAAGAGGCCGGAAATATAGCGCTGATCGCTTTAAAATTTTCCATGAGGGTCCAGGTATGGTCAAGGACAGCGCCTATAACTTTCGGTGATGATCAGATAATAATATTGCGATTTGTGTTTTTTGAGTCGATCTATAGGCCACAATTAAAAGATGAACATCACAACATAACCCACGGTGAAGGGAATATAGACATGTAATTAGAAGGGCTGTACTGAATATTAATAATATTTGTTGACCTCTAGTCGGTCAGAGGGTTCGATTTTCGTGGAAGTTGTGTAGGGTATACTTCAACTATACTGTTCCGCTTACTGGTTTTTGTCTGTTTTTCTGGTCGCTCTATTATAATCCGAACATCACGAAATAAGCACGACTATTTAGATAAATATTGATCAGTATTTAGCTGTACTTTTATTCAATGATGTATTTATTTACTCCAGAAGGACATAGACCCGAGAAATTGATAATAATAAGAAGTGTTGTTTGGCCTTCTTCTTAAAAAAGAAGAAACATAATTTAAAAACTTTTTGTTGTTGTTTTTCGTGATACAAGTCCTTATTTTTGATGGTGGGCACAATAACTCCTCACTAGGAATCGGAAAATTCCAACGGAATTAGAAAGGGTACATGCCTGGCTCTCGTATTGACTTCGCCCGAAAATTAACGAAATGACGAACTATTGATTTGACGAATGACGACAATAGTTCGTTTTGTGAGAATCCCCTATTTGAGACCACATATCTAGCTGGAAAATAAGGAAGATCTTCACCGATTACTTTTATCCTAATAGGTCCAAAATGACGTGTTTGTTATTTTTTTTCGTAAAATAACAAAATTTGTATGTTGAAGTGATTTATTACACCAGTAAAATATGATTCCGAAAAGATGTCGCAGATGACCTGACGACCTCTATCGAAGAAGATATCACTGATTCTTTTGGGGTAATTTTCGGCCAAATGTTGCCACATATTTATATCTTAGCCTTATAACTTGACGATTATTGGTTGTTCTAGTGCTAAAGAGTCTGCATAAACATGGTATTTTGCGCAGCACCATAAAAAAGAGTATAATGGTGACAAATCGCATGATATGTGAATTTGAATTTTGTTAATTTTTTTTACACAACATGAAGTCTTTTATTGTGAACAATCGTATATCATTAACTCCAAAATCACGTTTTTTGAGTCTTGAAGCAAATGAGCGATATGACCATAACAAAGTGACAGAAGTTCCTTTGGTTTCAGTTTTTGCATTTACTAGTGTATCAATGTAAAATACGCCATACTGTGCCGTAAAACAGTCCTTTAAGAGGACCCCCCCATTCTCGGGGTCAAAAAAGTTTTTTGATTTAATTCGAATCTACAGTAATTCAAGAATGTCCCTACAAAATCTCAAGTGAAAATCTCAAGAACTGTTGAAGAGCCGATTTATTGTGTCAGCATCAAGTGACGGCTAAAGGGTTTCTCAAACTTTAAACGCGTTTTTCTCTTTTGCGAATGGCGGGCACGATAACTCAAAAACTAATAACCCAATCCATTCCACATTTTTACACGTTTCTCTTTGAGTGAATAGCTATCGTATGAACTAGGATAAAGCCAATCGGTGAAGATCTTCCTTATTTTTTAACATGGTTTTTGGTAAAAAATCGGCGATTTTCCAAAACTATTTTTTTAAAGATCTCCTAAGGGAAAATTGGAGTAGGTTCGAATTTAATCAAAACACAAAACCTCTCCTCTCAGACATCTCCCTTTAAAGCAAGATATGTTTCTGTGACAGAATTACAATTTTTATACTCTTCACATATCTTCGTGCTTATGTTTGTAGCAATCATAAGGAAACGAGATAGACCCTTGGTTCATTTTGGGAATATGCATACAATCCCATTCTAAGTCGTTTTATACATGTTCGTTGTAAACAATGTACGGGTCTCATTAATAATCCGAATTGCATGAAATTTGGACCATCTTACTAATTTGGCCCAAGAACGATTCGTATGTTCTATGTGTTCAGTTTCGTTAAAATCGGTTCATAGTCCCATATATATTTTGTCCGATTTTATGCAAATGGTGCACCAAATATTCAAAGTTTTGTCCGATTACGAACATCAAAAATAAGAATTTAAATAAATAAATCTAACCGGTATCAAACAATTTAATTTTGTTTATTTATTTAATTCGATACTACACTAATTCAGGAATGTTCCTTTTGAAATTTTTTAATTGAAAATCTCAACAACTCATGAAGAAATGGTCAATTTTTTGTGGTAGTATCATGAGACCGCTATGATTTCGAGAAGGACATTAAAAATGGTTCGGAAATTCTTCATGATATATTGTTGCCAGGCATGAAATCCAAAAATGAGGGTACTGTTATGCGCATGCTATAGCAAAACTTGAACTGATATTTAGAATAGGGATCTTTGACTACCAATAAGAAACCAAAAGAAGTGTCATTATATGTTGGCTACCCCGGAATTAGGTGTATATATATATATATATATATACATATACCTCTGATACAACAAATAATAAAACATGTGTACAATTCCGCCAACCATAGTTTGAGGGTATGTGAAAAAAATTTCAAAATACTAAAAGTTTGATAACACTATTGTATGGCGGTACTCTAAAACGTGGACCAATATTGACAATTATTAGTATGAAAATTTGCTACTCAATGCATGAATTCAGTGGCATAAAGTGCCCACGTGGGCCTATATAACCCATTTTTAATTCCAAACATCCTTGGTATAGTGAAAATTTTCAAGTTCTATATTGACTACTGAAATAATATTCTGAATCTTAGAGACACCCGGCCAAATAAAATAATAATTTTCTTCTGATAAAAAATGTATATGGGCAATATTGCCAATTTTTTTATATTCCATTTTCAAAAAATCAGCTTTTTTATTTTTGTGGCACATCAATGATTTTTGGTACACATATAGAGAAAAATGTTTTTACTCCGAAACCGTTCGCAATCAAATTTTTGGTTGATGCGCGCAAAAGTTATCGAGGTTTTAATTTTGGGCATAAGAAAAAAATCTTAAAATTACGCCGTTTATTATATTGACCAAAAACGTCGGCTGAAGTTTTTAAAGTTCTCTTTTCGAAAAAGATCAAAATCCGTATGAGGTCATTTATTGAAGCGGAAATGATCCACAGAAAACGCAAATAAATCCGCGATATTTTCAAAAACATTTTTTGCCAAATTTCGTGTTTTTGGAAGGCCAGTTCCCGCCGTTCTAGTAGATGGTTTTTTACGAAGAAGATTTTATATCATCCGAAACGTAAAAAACCTTATTGATCGCGGGGACCCATATCATTCAGTTGACAGATCTAAAAATTTGGCCCGAAAAATACGTTTTTTAGCAATTTGATCGCACAAAATTTCCACCTTCGGGTGAGTATTACTCTGAGGCTGTGCATAATACATACACAAAATATATATCAAATTACTCAGATTCGCGACTACAATAATCTTATAATCGATTTTTAGAAATTCCTGTTTGCGCATTAAAACTAGAAGTAAAATTCAAAAAACAGTCGAAATCGAGCTTCAAAATGTCAGCATCATTTAAAGGTAGATGCAGTTAAAATTTTGAAAAATTATACATAACGGACGTAGTCCCCATTTTGGTGGCTCTTAGTTTTACTTTGACATGAAGACCGTGAAATGTGTGGCTTAATCACAAATCGATAGAGAACATAAAAAACTGGTTCGCCTCAACCTGTTTTTACACATTTTTTTACATTAAAGTAGACACAGCTTCCACGCATATACACTTAGGAGTTCAATATCATGAACAGTTTGCAACGACAGTTCAATTAACCCAAAACTATTCACTTTTTTCATATACTTTTTTCATATACCGAGTTATAATGGGGTGAACCTCCGCTTCAGCTTTGTTAAAAAATTGGCAATATTGCCCATATACTTTATGCGCTTAACGCTAAATAAAAGCACTTAGGTTTAAAATAATAATAATAATAATGCTCGTATCAAGAATATAATATTGTATGGGGTCTCCAATAAATATTTCGATGTGTTGCAATAGGGTGTAGGGTACGAGGGCAATTCGGAATGTTCTTAGCCTAGCAAAAAAAGCGTGATATAAACAGAAACAAGTTAAGTGTTTTGGAAACTTTCATCTCTGTTATGAACTCATGTCAAATTTTGAAGTTTTTGAAGTTTCCAAAAAACACTTTGAAGTTTTCCAAAACACTTTTTCTGTTTGTACCGCGTTTTTTGTGCTAGGATAAGAACTTTCCGAACTGCCCTACTATAAAACGTATCTCTACATCCAAGAAATGTTGAAATGTAGTCGATGATGTTAATTAAATAGCCGGTCTCGCAGTCAGTAAATATTGACATTTTCTACTTTAAAATAATTTATTCGGAAAATATTAATGAGTGTAGTAAATGACAAAATATGCATTTTCTTGTTTTATTTAAATTTATGGTTGTTTTTTTCTAAAAAAAAACATAAAATTCTTTAATCAAGATACGACTTGATTTAGATTTTTTATGATAAGCGCAACTATAAAAGCAAGTATTATTGGTACTTAATATTCAGAAATACGAGAAGACAAGATATTAACTAAATATAGACGTATCAATGTATGTTTGTGTGTCTCCGATATGCATTTTTTATGGACCATATGCTATAAGCGATAAATAATACCAGTAAGGAAAGTAGTAAAGTCGGACGGGTCCGACTATATGATACCCTTCACCACTTTTGGTATATTCAAAAGATAAATCCTAACAGTCCAGTAAAAAACGGACCAGTAAAATGAACTTGGATCCACAAACATGTCATTCTGAAACCCATACTAAAATTTTCATTTGGTCAGATATAGAAGCTATATCTAAATCTGAACCGATTTTCAGGAAACTTAACACACATCATTCTCTACCTAATTTATTACGCCGTGCCAAATTTCGTGCAAATCGAAAGATATATAGGGATTTTGGTGTCCCATTTACCTTAAATCGGACGAAAATATATATGGGAGCTATATCTAAAACTGGACCGATTTTCACGAAACTTATCACATATCATTCTAGACCTAATTCAGTACGCTGTGCCAAAATTCAAGCAAATCGAAAGGAATATAGGATATTTGAAAGGAATATAGGATATTTGGTGCACCATTTACTTAGAATCGGACAAAACTATATAGGGGAGCTATATCTAAATCTGAACCGATTTTCATGAAACTTGGCACACATCATTCTGGACCTAATTCAGTACTCTGTGTCGAATTTCGAGCAAATCGAATGATATATAGGGACTTTGGTGCACCATTTACCTAAAATCGGACGAAACTATATATGGGAGCTATATCTAAATCTGAACCGATTTTCTCGAAACTTAGCACACATCATTCTGGACCTAATTCAGTACTCTGTGCCGAATTTCGTGCAAATCGAAAGATATATAGGGACTTTGGTGCACCATTTACCTTAAATCGGACGAAAATATATATGGGAGCTATATCTAAATCTGAACCGATTTTTACGAAACTTGGCACACATCATTCTGCACCTAATTCTGTACTCTATGCCAACTTTCATGCAAATCGAATGATATATAGGGACTTTGGTGCACTATTTACCTTAAATCGGACGAAACTATATATGGTAGCTATATCTAAATCTGAACCGATTTCATCGAAACTTGACACACATCATTCTGGACCTAATTCAGTACTCTGTGCCGAATTTCGTGCATATCGAAAGATATATAGGGACTTTGGTGCACCATTTACCTTAAATCGGACGAAATTATATATGGGAGCCTGTTACAAACATATGCACAAAGACATAATACCCTGCACCACAGTCTTATGGTGGACTAACTTACTATAAGTGTGTGTTCCATGTTTTTAAACACTAAATTCAAATTTTGTCCATCCTTTACTTTCAGAGAATTATTAAAAATAGAAACAGAACACCAAACGGCTGCCAACGATGTTGAAAATTATCTAACGAATCCTGTCAATGCTTATCGATTAATCAAAAGGTTATTCAATGATTGGCACAAATATGAAAGCCACTTGGAAAATGCCAAAGGTATCAAATGTAGAAAACCTTGAATGTTGTTGTAGTATTCACTTTCAATGAGCTTTGCCTATTTATATCTGAACAGATCATTTGGAACAATGGAAGCTGAGGAAGAGTCACTTACATTTTCCAAGTCAAGTTGATTTCGAAGAATCGGCACTGGCATTGGTGCGTTTGCAGCAAACCTATAATTTGGATGTAGAACAGGTGGCATCGGGTATTCTCAATGGTATTAAATATGGGTAAATATCGTAACGCATTTCAATATATTTATTTTTTATTATTAAATAATTATATTTTAAAATTTACAGCAATGACATGTCCTGGTCGGATTGTTTACTGTTGGGCCAACAACTGATAAATGTCAAAGCATTTAATCAAACCAAAGACTGGATAAATGAATCAATGAAACGTTATAGCATGGAAGAGGACGTGGTATCGGACTCAACTGAATCCACATTGGACTTCATGGAGAAATTGGGTGAAAATCTATTGAAAACTGGCGATACAACAGCTGCATTGGAAGTTTTTCGTGCAGTGGTGTTGAAGGACCCTCATCGTTTAAATGTCGTATCGGCAATATATAATAATACTTACTTGTTGCCAGAAGCCTATGAGGAAGAAAGGGAATATCACGTAAGTCTTTAATATAAATTAAATTTAATCATAACAAGTAAGGAAGTATCAGTCGGTGTTGTCGACAGTTAAATACCCTCATCCTATGGTTTGTGGAAGTCTACAGAATTACGCACGTTTTATTATCTGTGGATAGGTACCAGAAGAGGTTGACCTATAGACACAATCTTCAGATTTAATGTAGGTTTTGTAAAATACTACGATGTGCAAACATCGGCATTCGGATTTAATCTAGGTTTGCTAAAAATATTATGTTTTTATTTTTTTTCTATTTCGAGATGAGCTACATGATCGAAGTTGCAATGAAAGGGAAAGCCAGAAAGATATTACATTCCCATTATTCGACACGTTTCGCCGGGTATTAAGGGGCTCATCGGGCATATTGGGTAATGTGACTTACAAATGTCTTTACTTGATATGTTCTATTTATGTGGAATATTGCATCTTCGAATTAAATTCAAGCGTTTCAACGTTCGGATATTTGACGACACACCAGAACATCCATTTTCAGAGCAAATTTTTCTTGTGACGGTGGACTTTTTTCCATACAACCTACAAGATTTTTCTTCCGTAGTATACAACTGCATATTGTGTAATCTTAGGAACGCTAAGGCGCCGGACAACAATCGAAAGATGCCATAGGAACCAGGATTCAAATCACTGCCGGGCTCACGCTGAATGTGCAAAGTTTGGATCAAACCAGGATTAATAAATTTTTAAACTGTTGACACTTTGTTGGGCAGGTACCAGAAGGAGTGGACACATGGGTCTCATCTCCATATTTGATTTGGATTTGAAGGACATATTACGATGTGCTCAGTTTGGATCAAATCGGATAGTCCATACGCCTAATATTGGATTTATAAATATTGAAAATGTGGACCTTCTGTGGGGTAGGCACCATACGGTTATGTTCAAATTTCGATGAGGCACATTTTTGCCGTAGCAAAGTGTATATACCCAGTAGGCCCTATCCGACTATATAATGGTGGTCTATGTGCCAAGCTTAAATATAATTCTGTTGGAATCCACGCCTATTGGCGGAGCTTAAAATAGTTTTCAAATAAAACTACGCCTATGGGCGGAACTATGGAATATTTTTGATAGAAACCACGCTTTGGGCGGAGTTTAAAAGAAGTTTTTTAAAGAAACCACGCCTATGGGCGAAGCTTAAAAATATTTTTATCGGTATTATTCTTAAAGAAAAGCTGGACGTCTTATTCTTATAGAAGAGCTGGATGTCTTCTTATAGAAGAGCTGGAAGTCTTTTTTGTATAGAAGAGCTGGAAGTCATGTTTGTATAGAAAAGCTGGAAGTCATTTTTGTATAGAAGAGCTGGACGTCTTCTCCTTATAGAAGAGCTGGAGGTCTTCTTCTTATAGAAGAGGTGGAAGTAGTCTTCTTATAGAAGAGCGGAAGGTCTTCTTCTTAAAGAAGAGCTGAAGATATTTTTCTTGTAGAAAAGCTGGATGTCTTCTTCTTATAGAAATGCTTGATGTCTTTTTTTTTAAGAAAGCTTGATGTATTTTTAAAAAGAGCTGGAGGTCTTCTTATTGTAGAAAGCTGGAAATATTTTCTTATAGAATATCTAGAGGTATTATTCTTAAAGAAGCGCTGGAGGCCGTCTACATATAGAAGAGCTGGATGTCTTCTTCTTATAAAAGAGCTGTATGTCTTCGTCTTCTTATAGAAGAGCTCGATGAATTCTTCTTAAAGAAGAGCCTGAGGTCTCCTTCTTATAGAAGAGTTGGAGGTCGTCGAAGTCGTCCTGTTCGGCCGGGACGAATTATTAATATCTCCCCCATGTGGGATGCAGCAAAACTTCCTACATTCGGTAGAGACCTTTATATGGCATCAATGACAATGTCTCTCAGAAAATATTGTGCAACATTGCATATTCTCAGGTTGGAAAACTAGACTAGGAACTACAAACACCTGAAGCTATATTTCTAATTTTCTGGGAAGACATTTTCACCTCAAATATGCAAAATGTGTATACATCTATAAAATATCGCAAATGGGGGGACCTTTATAAAAGTTCTATGCTAAAACTCGAAATTTTTCTGAATACATTTTTTCATCCTCCAAGAACTTGGAAAGCTAAATTATTGCCACATCGGTGGGGAAATTCAGCAAAAACCTTAAAGATATCGTAAATGGGGAGTTTTATATATAGCGGAACCTTTACATTGTATGTAAAATCAAAACATGGACAAATATCAAAATTTTACTGAAAACCGTTTTTAATTCTCCAATAATTTTGATGGGGTAATTCGTCTAAAACCTGTTAAACTTATGCAAACCAAAAAGTCCATATTATAGTAATATGGATCGGGAAATGAGGCTTCAAAACGCGCACACCCTTAGTGCTAAGTCGATGTTAAATTTTCTTTCAATAGTTTTTAATATTTTGAGAAAACGATATACCAAGTTGTAAAATTTTTCTAGGAACCTCAAAACAACGAAAATGGGAAGGGGGCTATTTGAACCTATGCAATGAGTATAAGAATTTCAGCCAGGATATCACAGTATCATCTGGGAATACTAATTTACTTCCAGTTTTTCTTTTATTTCAGCGTACCGAAGAATTTAAGCTTTACGAAAAAGTGTGTCGTGAAGAAGTAACCCGCTCGCCGAGCGAAGAACGTGATTTACGCTGCCGCTACTATTGGGGTGTGGACAATGCCTTTGTCCTCTCACCATTTAAGCTAGAAGAAATAAATGAAGATCCATATGTAATGTTGCTGCATGATATGGTCACAGATCAGCAAATTGCAACCATCAAAGAAATTGCAATGCCTGAAATGAGACGTTCTACGGTGCGTGATGATAGTCGTGGTGGTTCAAAGCGACGCAATTATCGTATATCGAAAAATGCCTGGGTAGAATATACCCGTCATCCACATATAGAAAAATTACTGCGCGATTTACATTATGCCACCGGTTTGGAAACACAATTCAGTGAAGAATTACAAGTGGCTAACTACGGTTTGGGTGGTCACTATGAACCACATGTGGACTTTTATTTGGTAAGTTGAAAATGTGTGTGTGAATGTATGGAAGAGTTATATGACTGACCTTTGCCGCAATGAACGTTAAATTTTGTTCGTGTCATTGCTAGGCTATTTCATGGGAAAATCTAATTTTCCACTGCATGAGTATTAGATGGAAACGTATGAAATTCCTGTTGAAATAATTTTTATGCAAAATTTTGTGAGCAATATTTCCATACACACCCACACACTAAAAATAACAATTTTGATATTTATCAAAAATCCTTTCTTTCTCTTCCCTTCAAATATGTTGTGAATGTCCTTTGTTGTATGCGGTTGCTGCTGAACCTGTGACGATGACAATGTTTATAGACCGGTGTTACAGAGGAGTATACAAATCGCATATCCACCTCCATTTTCTACGTGAGTATAATGAAAACCTATGAGCCAATCCACTAGTTTATCATTGTTATTACGTTACAAGGATGCGTGGTTGTATGTATGTTTGCACATTAGGGTTATGATTTTTTGACTTTTGTTAAATGGTTTGCTGTTGCAGGAATAAATGAAATTTTTTCATAATAGGGGAGACTGGGGCACCTTCGGCATCGGGGCACATTCGGCAATCGCGTTTCGATATGATATCTCTAGTTTCGGTACATATGTATCGAATATCGAAATAAATACTGCCATAAAGTTTGAAATTTCTAGCTAATAAACTTATTTAGATGCACGGGCTTTTGTATTTTTACAGAAGTTTTTGTAATATTTCCATTCCATTTCGTAAGTTTTCGTGTATAAAACTTTTCAAATTTTAAGACAATATTATTAAAAAGCGGTTAATTACGATGTGTATTATTATAAAAATATTTAAAAATATAATGTTTTTACAATATAGGATAGGAACAATGAAAAAAAACTACAAAAAGTACATTCGGATTAGATTCGGCATTTTAAAGTGGGGCACATTCGGCCGTATACAGATAGTGTAATATTATTTCCTTAAAATGTTTTTGAGTTTGTCTTATAATCCTTTAATATGGTTCGAAATTACATAGATAAGACAAAACGTTCCTGTATTTCGAAAATGCGATAGAAAAAACCTATTTCTGACCTGACTATTTCTGAACCTAGAAAATATAGCCCTAAAATTCAAACATTGTGTCGCGTATTAAAACCAAATAGAACCTTCAAAGGATCTGAATTTCAACCAGACTGATAGCGATGATAATTACCAGGCAATGACTATGGTGCCGAATGTGCCCGATCGAATGCCGAAGCTACCCCGGGTTGGGGCATATTCGACGAATTTGACTTTTTTTACAAACTAATAATACTAATTTTTTATATCTTTTTGGTACTAATTTTTATAATTAAGTATCAGAGGACAATAATCAGCCATAAAGTTTTTATATATGTTGAATAAGTACTGAGATATAGAGCTCTAAACAAAAAGTGCCGAAGGTGCCCCAGTCAAATTATCTATGAACCAAAGACATTGATATCGAAGAAAAACTCTCGCTTTAATCCGCAATTAAATGAAGGAGTCCTATTTATGTATAACCCTATTACCGATGTTATCCACCGAATGCTTTAGAAATTCGAGAATATTATAAAAAGTACATGTACTTTATATAGCGATCATAAATAAGCCCATTCATAAGTACCGCACACGAGTAATATATATATATATATATAGCTTTAGGTTCTAACATTCATTTGAATTTAAGTTTTTATTGATGTGTGTTTTTCCGCTTACTTAGCTGGCTTGTGACAGAACTTTCGTTCCATAAGCCGAGCTTAAAAAAATTCCAGGGCCGTCGGTCTTTTGCGCAGTTTTTTCCAATTTGAAAGACCATATTCGGCAATGTTGTCTTCCACTTGGTCTTTCATCTTATTCGTGACCGTCGCCTTCTGCGTGAACCATCAGCTGGTTCGCTATTATATGCCTTCTGGGCTGGGGCATCTTCATCCACTATCACAGCATGACCCAGCCAACGTAGTCGCTGCAGCAATGTCGATGTCCGAGAATAGCTGGCACAACTCATGGTTCATTGTGTTTTTCCGCCAGCTACCTGTTGGGTACATTGAAAGTTAAAATCCTTATAATCATGAAAAAGCATTTTTCCCCAAAAATGGAAACATTTCATTAATATCAAAACAAATTTCCTTAATGGTAACGATTTGCATACTTTTTTCCTCTCTCTTTCATTTTTACAAAAACCAATGTATTCTTCCCATGAATAAAACCAAAACAATCGTTGTTTTTTGGTATCGTCCTACCTCCTTCCCACACTTGAGGGCTGTTAGTTTTGTAACCGTATGTTTCTCTTCCTAACTACCGCTTTCTCACCACATACCCGATTGTGGTTAGTTGTTTTCTTATTTCATGCACATTGGTGTTATAAAATTCGCATATGCATTTTCCAAATTATATAAATACCAAATACAATATATCACACAAGTGAAAAAAAATTGTTGAGCAACAAGACGAATGTTTAAATTTCTATATAATTGTTCCAAAGACGCAAAACAAGAGTATGTAAATAAAGAAATAAGAAGAAACAGCACAAGACATAAATAACGAAGAAGAAAATATAAAATCATAAAAAAACAAAGAGTTTCTGTGTCGTATAAAACCCGCCACTACCAAGCACAAAAATGTTGGTTTTAATTTTTCTCTCCCTTTGATAAGAAACGAATATTTAATGTTTTATGAATTGCATTCATAAAATGCAGAAATTCAGTCATTGGCAACACTTTTTGAACACGAATTATACGAATTATTTTTACTGTACTATTATTGTCCTGTGTAATACTTATATCGCATTGAAAAATACCTTTTAGAAAACTACTTAGTACTTACAGGTGTTCACTGGTCAATTTTTGTCATTCAACTAAACAGAAGTGCACTTCTGTCCACTGCCATAGAAATGGGCAGAGAGGATCGCACTTATTTCTATATAGCTTAAAGCACTGCGATGAAAAATATTGAACTTCCCGCATATACCGTACCAATCCCTCGTTGGTGACTGCAGCAGCAATTGCACTTAACAGGGTAACGTATGCTACTCCAGCTGCTCAGTTGTGCCTGATTATTCTCAAAGTAGAACACAGCCGACAGTATGACGATTTTTTAGAATTGAATAATGAAAATTAAGTGAATTATAATATGTCATTTAAGAAGAGCGCTTCCAACGTAGAGGAAATCAAGGAAAAAATTGGGCAAATAAACGTCCATTATAATAATCCTCCAATTATCAGCGAACAGAAGTAAAAATGAACGAAAATGCATTGTAAGACGCCTTGTTACTCCTTCAGAACATTGAGTACTTCTTTGTGCAGAATTTCATGAGCAATCATAATCGGCTGAAAGCAGTCTTCAGAGCCCTTTTAGTCTTGGCCAATATCCTTCAGTCCAGATATTGTACTAGAATTGGGCAATCTCGTTCATCAAGCGGTTCGAACTAGGTAGTTCCGTTAGTTCAATCGTAAATTGCTACACGGAAAAGCGTGCGAGTTGCTCCGAAATGAATGGACAATGGGGTCTATGTTTGCAGTAAATTTATATTCATACTGGCTTTATATTAACTTTCGAATTTTTGTTTAAATTTTTAAAGAATTGATTGCATTTATTTTTAATTCGCAAAAAATATATATAACGTTGTGAAATTGTCAAGTAAAATAAAGAAACAACCAAAGTAACATGAACGGATGAGAAGATCTAGATGACAAATGAACGACTGAAACAAAAGGAATGAAAGGTAAAAATGTATGATTGTTAGAGTCCACGGAGCGGATCGATCTTTCTCGTTCCTTTTTTAAAAATGAACTAGTTCCTTAATATCGTATAGTTTCTTTGCTCCACATTGTTCCAACTCCTAAATGATTCTGTTGAATCTATTTCTTTCATCGTTCTTTAATTAATTTATATTTAGTGACACATTCAAAAGCTACAGAATTCCACTGCAGGACGATAAACATAAAATATTTTTGTTTTTGATAATTTCAGTAGTGTTGGCGGTTTATTTGGGATACCATTTGTATTTTGTTTTTGCAAAATGGTCAGGCTGAATCCCAGTTTGTTGTTTTTATAAAAAACAACTATTTATTAGTGGGGAATCACTAATAAATCACGGATCACGCCACTAATCCTCATCAGTTCCCTTAGTTTTTTTTTTTTTTTTTGGATATTCTGCTCAGAAGCTATTTATTGCTTCTTTACAAAAAACCTTTCATACCCAAATGTCTCTTGTAACAAAGCGAAGTACTTAGCTGACCAACGACATAAACTGCATGAGAATTTCGCTGGAGCCTCACTTCGAGGTTAACAAGGCATTTACAAACAATACCACACCTTTCCCACTGTTGTGTGTTGTCACATCGCGACAAATGCACACAACGACTTTGTTGGTGTTGCTAGTTTTTGATAATTTTAATATTTTCACAATAATAAATTAACGGGCATATATTTCTATATTTTATAATCGACAGCATCTGAAAAACGAACGAGAAGGAATAAAGGTACGGGATCAGAAAAAGGAACTAAAGAACTGGATCCTGTTCCTAGCGTTCCTTTGTCGGAATATTTACGATGAACTATTAGTTTCTGGAACTACCCAAGATAAGATAGGGGCAAAATGAACTCGACGAACAAAAGAACCACACTTAGTTAGTACCGATCGTTCCTTTTACGGAAAAAATTTCTTTGAAGGTGAACTAGATCGTTCAACTCGTTCAGTTAGCTTATACGTTTAATTGGTATGACACCGCATTGTAATTAAGTTCAGTTAGTTAGTAAACGTACAATGTAAATTATTAAATAAAAAAACAGGGGCAACTAAAACAGATAGATATCATATAATACCCAATGTTGTACACTGAGAAAAGTTGCCGTTTAGTGAACGACAATAACAAACATTGAACAATGTAATTAGTGGATTGACTCGTTAAATTGAACTACATCGTTCACGAACGACACAAGATTTGAACTCTTCACTAGAGTACAAACAGATGCCAAATGTTTGCAAAGCATGCTGGAACCCTAGACCTTATTGTCATTATTTCGGTATCTGAAACTCGGAACAGGTTTCGAAAATCTGGTCGTTCATTTCTTACCCGTCGACATATCAGATGGTTTATTGTCAGTTGTTCGCGCTCAATATTTCGAAGAACTACCTGTGGCTCTGTATGACTATTCAAAAGTACTGTGGACTAGTATGTGTGGGTATTGAGGATCAGTTATCAGTTGTGATAAATTTCAATTTATTGCACTCTTGGGTAACAATGAATGCAAAAATATATAGGTTCATGTTTTGGAATAGTCCCCATTTAAAGGTATCGCCCCATTTGCCGTATTTGGAAGGTCCTTGCTTCATTATCCAACCGAATCACCTGTAATTTCGCACATCGAGTTTTCAGAGGATAGAATACCTCCTCGCATATTAAATGCCCCCATGTTTACAATGAGACAACATTTGGAAAATGAACAAGAACAAATTAAAACCAGTAAGGAAAGTAGTAAAGTCGGACTGGGCCGACTATATGATACCCTTCACCACTTTGGGGATATTCTACATATGTATCCTAACAGACGTCGCATTTTCTAAGAAACATTGAAAGATATATAGGGACTTTGGTGCACCATTTACCTTAAATCGGACGAAACTATTTATGGGAGCTATATCTACATCTGAACCGATTTTCTCGAAACTTGGCACACGTCATTCTGGACCTAATTCAGTACTCTATGCCAAATTTCGTGCAAATCGAATGATATATAGGGACTTTAGTGCACCATTTACCTTAAATCGGACGAAACTATATATGGGAGCTATATCTAAATCTGACCCGATTTTCTCGAAACTTAGCACACATCATTCTGGACCTAATTCAGTACTCTGTGTCAAATTTCGTGCAAATCGAAAGATATATAAGGACTTTGGTGCACCGTTTACATTAAATCGGACGAAACTATATATGGGAACTATATCTAAATCTGAACCGATTTTCACGAAACTTGGCACACATCATTCTTGACCTAATTCAATACTCTATGCCAAATTTCGGGCAAATCGAAAGATATATAAGCACTTTGGTGCTCCAATTACCTAAAATCGGGCGAAACTATATATGGGATCTATATCTAAATCTGAACCGATTTTCACGAAACTTGACACACATCATTCTGGACCTAATTCAGTACTCTATGCCAAATTTCGTGCAAATGTAAAGATATATAGTGGCTTTGGTACACCATTTACCTTAAATTGGACGAAACTATATATGGGGGCTATATCTAAATCTGAACCGATTTTCTCGATTTCAATAGGGTTCGTCCTTGGGCCAATTAAGTGACCTGTGCCAAATTTCATCCAAATCGGATCATAAATGCGACCTGTACTTTATTAACAAAAATACATGGACGGACGGACAGACGGACATGCATAAATCGACTCAGAAAGTGATTCTATGCATATTCTCAAAAGGAACCATGGGTCTATCCCGATTATTTTTGCCTGTTACAAACAAAGACATAACACTGTGGTGAAGGATATAAATATATGGATATATATGGAAATAATACATCGATATAAGGTTGCAAAAAAGGCATAACCCTAGTGTACGTATGTGATATGAGTTATTGCTGTGTTAGATACACAATGGCATTTTTTGCACAAAACTGTGGGAGTCAATCTGCTAAACTATAATATTACCATGTTAAAGCAATTTAATCTTCTACGGCACAGTGGTTAAACAATGTACTTATAGTCGGCTTTCAATATGTAAAATATATTCCGTAGATAAAATATTTTCTATATATGGATAAAACTCTTTCATGGATATAAAATATTCTATACATATAAATGTTGTTCTATGAATATAATCTGTTTTATGGCTAGACGGGCTTCTAAATGTAGAGATTCTTCTTTAAGCAGACGCTCTTTCATATTTATAACCTCTTTTATATATAGAAGATCTGCCATTGATATATGCTTTTCAATTGATTGAAGCTTTTGAATAATAATCTCTCCTATGGGCCGATGCTTTTTAGTAGATCACAATTTTCCTCACAGTTCTATCTAAAATTGTATGCACATACTCATCAAACAAAAAACCTGTGCATTTCATTCATGCAACGCAATCCTTCTCCCATATAAATCATTTCATGACTGCTCGTTTGCGAATTTGCAATTGCATATTTACAGTTTTTCCATTCTATTCTACTCTGTCTTCTTTTGCAGTTATCTGATGTGGAACAAGGTGGCGCCACTGCATTCCCATATTTGAAGATAGCCATTAAACCGACCAAAGGCAGCGTATTGTTCTGGTTCAACTTGCATCGTTCATTGGATGGTGATTATCGGACCAAACATGCGGGTTGTCCTGTACTCAAAGGTTCCAAGTGGAGTAAGTCCTATCTCTAACACGGCATACACGCGAACACACACATAGGTGTGCGTGCGTGTGCCTGGTGTAAACTGTACTTAACCAAGATTTTTCTATGATTACTTTGTTTCTTTGCAGTTGGTAATGTCTGGACACATGACCGTACACAATTTGCCATACGACCATGTGGTCTATATCGTGACTATGAAAGTTCTTGGGAGTATATGATGGTCAAATGAAATTTGCTACGACGAGAATGTGCAACAACAACAAAATATCAGAACGACAATGGAAATGAGACTTTGGAAGTCATTGTGATAATATTTAGCAAGCCAGCCCGTTTTATGCGTGTGTGTGTGTGTGTGCGTAATTGTTTTCTTTTGTGTAAGTTAGATGATTAAGTAGATTTTAGTAGAGGATTTATTGTTTGTATAAACCGAAAGATAGATAAAGTGATAAAATGTGCTGAATTTTTAATTAATTGTTGAATTTTGTGTGTGTGTGTGTTTTATTTGGAGGGGGAAAAAAAAGTACAAATATACGAGTACAAAATATTTTTAAAGAATAACTAAAAAATTAGAACTTATAAGGCATAACATTGAGGAACAGACAAATGATGGACGAGGCGACTATATGATGGCATACACTACTTCGTTTACATACAAGAGATACTCCTAATGTTCGCATTGTACCCTACAGTAATATATACCGATTTATACCATACCTAACAAATGTATCTCTAATGATTTTAAGACAATATCCTCTCGATCGGACAGAAGTAACTTCGTTGGTGCAGCATCGAATCAGACGAAACGGCTGAAGCTAGAATCTTGAAATTTGGGGTGAGGGCCACTCCTGGTGCAAATGTGTCAGATAAGGCTGGGTTCTGGGAATTCGTACTAGAACGGCAGGAAAAAAAAAATACTAAAAAGTATTAAATGTGGTACCATTTGTATTTGGCGAACTGGTAGAACTAGAACTCTTAAATTTAAAACTAGTGTCTATAATGGAGTGTTGAAAAGATGTACCAAAGGGGTTTTTGGACATTCGACAAATAGTGCTATATTTGGTACAATTTGGATTTGGGTAAACCGGTATAACTGGAACACTGAAATTTGGAAATAAGGCTGGAGTGTAGGTTGAGGTACGGATGTTGTTTTGGAAATTCATACTTATGGGTACTAAATTTGATACAATTTGAATTTTTGTAGAACCGATAGAGAAGGAATCATGAACTTTGAAGTTAGGATCTGTTTTCACTGATTAGGTGATAGTCGTAAAAAATATTCGATTTATAGTTCCGATACCGACCGATTTTCGACATGCTCAAGGAATTAGTCGCATTTTCCCACCGATGTGTTTGTAATCTATATATAAATAAGTGCGACCTATAAAATATACGTCAGAAACGCCACCGTAGTATCTGAAAGTGTTTTATGCGAGTACCTGCCCATAGGCCTACCTCGCGGTGGCTGAGCCACAGGCGGATATGCGCCCACCAGCGCACCAGCACCAAAGTGCTGTACCAATCGGAGAGCATGCAGAGGGCATACTCTCCCCCTTGGTGAGGGACGAAACCACAACCCCCGCACCACCACACCAACTGTCAGGCTGGATCGACAGATCCAGGGGCACCTGACACCCGCGGTACGGAAAACCTCCGCTCAGGCTCGAGACCGAAGCCTCTCCCAGTTTGACACAAGTCCGGGCTGGTATCCCAAAACAAAATAACAACGGCAACGGCAGCAAATAACCGCAAGTGACAAGGAAGACCTTGCCACAAGCAGTGGCGACGATGAACAAGTCCTCACGGACTGCACAAAGGACCCAAGGACCGCGGCAACGGACATCACAAGACAAACAATGAACGAAACTGCCCTCACGGGCAGCCTACACGACATCCACAACCGCAGAAGTGACTTCCGCGAAGTAGAAATACCGCGAACCTCCCACGATGCGGAACGACAGCAGAGCACAGCTCTCCACCAACAACCGCACCAACGCCAACCGGCGCACCAACCCACCACCACCCGGTGCAACCGACCAAACCCAACTCCAAGGGGGCTATGCACGAGGACCACCTCCGCTAAGTACTGTCCTTCTCCTAAATGCTTCACGAGCAAAACTACTTAAACAAGTAAAGGTCCGATCGTCTTCAAGTGTCCTACTGATATCCCACCCCGCCCCTCTATTCGATATACCCATATTTGCTAAATCTCTACTGTCATCATAGTAACAGCATTCCGTCAGTATATGCTTCCAGTCCTCAGTCATCCCGCACCCATAAAAGAGAGGCATTGTCCATAAATCCGTCTGGACAATGCCTCTCTTATGCAGAAAGCATTGAGAGATCCATGCCCCGTCAGTAAGAAACCAGTACTTAAGCCGAAGCGAAAGTCTGGCCGGTCCACTACGAACGTTGCGTCACGAATAAATTCGTACGTCACCCTCCCTTTGTCACTGTTCGTCCACCTTGTCCTCCACCTATCAACAACACAATCCCGAAGGATTGTGCTGTACCGCCTACTCTCCCCATCCACCAAATCAGAAGGCCTGAGCCAATCATCCTCATCCAACTGGAAACCACGCTTAAGTTTGTACAAAATAGCCCTACATCTCACTTCAAGATCAAGCGGCGCGGCGCCAAGCAGCACCTGCAACGCCTCTGTTGAAACAGTGCGACACACTGACAAGCACGCCAACATGACGACCCGCTGACACGAAAGGAGCTTCCTCTGCCCAAAGACAGAAGAGGCAGTTCTGTACCATATAGGTGCACCATAAGTCGCGCAGCCCACCGTAGTGCTGGGAGTGTCGCTGAAATCACTTCCTGGAAGTATCATAGTTCCTTCATGGTAGTATCGCCAAAGTCTTTTCTGGAAGTATCGCCGAAGTCAACCCTAGAAGTAATGCCGTAGTCACTCCGGGAAGTCACTTCTTGTTCAATGTGGAAAAAAGTCGAGATGTTGACAATTCGTGGATGAGTTACCTGGAAAAGTACCCATAAAACTCACCTTAAGTAAGTGAGTGACTGACAGATCACCGATCAGACGAAACGGCTAAAGCTAGAAGCTTTAAATTTTGAGTGTGGGTTGTTGTTGGTGTATATACGTGAGATAAGGCTGGGTTTTTGGAAATTCGAACCAGAAGGGTACGAAAAGTACTAAAATGTACCAAATATGGCACCCTTTGTATTAGGGGAACGGGAAGAGCTAGAATTATGAAATTTGGAATGTGGGTCACTGATAGAAAGTTAGAAAGATGTACAAAAAGGGTTTTGAAAAATCGACCTAAAAGTGTACGAAAAATACTAAACTATACAAAATTTAGTTCTAATTGAATCTTCAAATTTTATATGGAATAAATGTCGGGAAGTGGTATTGATGTATGGAAATGGTTTGTGGAATTAGTACATATGTATATAAAATGTACAAAATAGTACTAAATTTAGTACTATTTGCGTTTAAATGAGTGTATAGAGATGGGAGCCAGAAAATCGGAACTAGTACTACTATTATAGTACAGGATCGAGGTAGCTTTAAAAATCGTACTTATGTGTACGAAAAGTACAAAATGGTACTAAATTTGGTGGAAGTTGGATTTAGGTGAATATATAGAGCTGGAGTTTTCAAATTGGGAATTTAATTGACTATGGAGTGTTATATTCAGGTAGTTTAGGAAATTCGTACTTATTGGTACGAAAAGTACTATGGTACCTAATATAGTACAATTTGGATTTTGCTTGTAAGGATAGCACTGAAAACCTGAAATTTGTAATGAATATAACTGTTGAAGATTGAGCTATAGAGACATCTTTGTATTTATGTGTACAAAAAGTACTAAACGGCACTAGATTTCGCACAATTTAGATTAGAGTGAAGGATAGAAATGGAAAACGTATGTTAAAAAAAAAAATACTGTTAAAGTACAGAATTGAGACAGCGTTGGAAATTCGAACTCAAAAGTACGAAAAGTACTAAATGGTACCAAATATGTGGAATTGAGGAAGTTTTAGAAACTCGTACTTACGTCTACGAAAAGTTGGTGATAGATCTGGACTGAGGTAGTTTTAGAAATTCGTACTTATGGTTAGATTGATATAGGTTTGGAATATAAATACGAAAAGTAAGTTAGGTAAACAGACCGATCTGAACATTTTAAATTTGGACTTACAATTATTATTTAAAAGCAGGATTGGAATATGGGTACAAAAATTACAGAATGGTACCAAATCAGGTACAATTTGGTTTTTAATGAACATACAGAGCTGGAAATTTTAAATTTGAACTTACGATCACTATTTAAAATCAGGATTGAGGTACTTTGGAAATTTGTACTTACGAGCACAAATATTACTAAATTTGATGTAGTTTTAGAAATTCTTATATATGAATATAAAAATTACTAAATGGTGCTAAATTTGGATTTGGCTGAATCCTTAGATTTGGAATTTAGATAACTCTTAAAGAAGAGTACTGAGCTATGGATACAACTTTGGAAATTCGAATTTATGTGTACGAATAGTAAATAGAATAGAAAATGCACTAAATTTGGATTTGGGTGACGGAGAGAGCTGGAAACCTAAAATATGGAATGTGGGTCACTGACGGTGAGTTAGAAGCAAGTGGTGGTGATACGGAGGTAGTCTTGAAAATGTGTAATTATGTGTTCGAAAAGTACTAAATGGAAATAAATTTGGAACCTGTACGTAAATATATATTTGGAATTGGAGATTTCGGAAAATAGTGCTTATGTGTATGAAGAGAACTAAATAGTAATAAACATGATATTAGATATAGGAATAGAGGTGAAATTCAGAACTATGGTACAACAAATTATACAGTATTCACGACTTCCATATGAAATATTATTTTATTTTTGTATTCCCTTTCGCATACGAAGTAGCGGAGTAGCTAGTTAGTAATAAAATTATTTTTAGCAAATATTTTGTGTGGGAGGTATCAAAAGGCGTGAACCACAATAAACATTACGAGGTGCACATTTTGTATCAAATCGGACATTCCACACGGCTGTTATTGGATTAAGGGGACCCCCCCTCCATTCTCGGCGTCAAAATTTTTGTTGATATAATTCGAATCTACACTGATTAAAGAATGTCTCTACAAAATTTCAAGTGAAAATCTCAAGAACTCTTGAAGATATAGCCGATTTATTCTCTGGAGTGTATAGCTATCGTATGAACTAGGATAAAGCCAATCGGTGAAGATCTTCCTTATTTTTTAACTTGGT